GCTGCAGACGGTGAGGTCCCCTGAGGCTGAGGGGCCACAGCCCAGCCCCCTACACCCCTGCAGCTGGCTCTGAGTCATAGCAGGGACAACCACTGCCTTTGTGTGCTTTCTGTGTGCTGGGCTGAGTACAGGTACGCCCTCTTCAAAGATGGCACCTTTTCGATCATTTTATAGAGAGTGGGTTGAAACAGTAAGACACCGATAGCAGCCCTGGAGCCAAGAGATCAAAACAGAGCACCATTTGTGTATTCGTTTGCTTGGTTTGGTTTGGTTTTAAACATCCCCTTCTCTACCCCAGGCTGGTTACTCCTGATGTCAAGTGCGTTGCTAAGTCATTCCGTGTTAGTTACCTCATTTAACCAATGTCATTGCTGCTGCATTGCACAGAAGAGGACGAAGAGACTTAGCTTAAGAGGCTTGTGAAGCTGGACGTAGTGGCACACACCCACAATACCAGCACTGTGAGGCTGAGGCTAGACAGCAGTGAGTTAGAGGCCAGCCTGGGCAGTTCAAGCAAGACCCTGCCTCAGAAGGAAAAAGGGCAGGGAGGCAAGGAGCAAGAGCCAGGCTGGTGTGCAGGCCCATCATCCCATCACTCAGGATTACAGAAAGCACTCCACAGCAAGTCTGAGGCCAGCCTGGGCTGTGGAGTGAGACCCCGTCTCAAAAAAGAAGAAGAAAAGGAAAAAGGATGGACGGTGGGAGGGAAGAGGGGATGGAAATTTGTCCCACATCACACAGTCAGGATGCAGGCTGGTCATTGGTACCAGGGTACCAGCATCCTTAGTCCAGGATGTATGTACAATGTATGGTGTAGGAGGGGCAGAGGCTGCTACACGGAGGCCACCTGGCCTCTGAGACCATCCAGGGGAGACTGCAAGAACTAGGAGACCTCTGGACCGAGCTACAGGCCAACTGCCAGAGGAAGATGGCCGGACTCCAGGGGGCCCACAAGGTAAGGATGGACTATCAAGCAACTCACTAGACAGGACTCTAGGACACACCACCCCACTCTCTTATACTCACTTACATTCTGTCCCAGGCTCTGCATCTGCAGAAGATGCTGGAGAGACTGGAGAGCTGGCTAGAGTCCATGGAAGCGGAGCTGAGAGCCCCTGTCGAAAACCAGGACCTGCCTAGGGTGGGCGAGCTCCTGGGGGCGCAGGGGGAGCTGGAAGCAGCCGTCGATAGTCAGACCAGGCAAGTGCAGGAGCTGCAGGGCCAAGCCCAAGCCTGCTTCCAGGAAGGCCACTGCCTCGCCAAAGGTGTGGAAGAGCAAGCCCAGCAGCTACTTCAGAGGTAGATTACCCAGAGCGCTGGTTTGATGATACTTTGCCCTCCTTGGCCTGCCGCCTTGGAGGGGCATCCCGCCCCCCCACCTTCTCATAGTGAAGCGCACAGAATAGATGAGCACTGTATTATAGTGTATTTTTAACATGGATGGCTGTGGCCCCCTCTGGTTCTCTTTCAGGTTCCAGGGCCTTCAGGAGCCGCTACAAGAGCGCAGGGCAGCCCTGGAAGCCCAGAGCCTACTCTTACAGTTCTTCAGGGATGCTGATGAGGAAATGGCCTGGATTCAGGAGAAGCTGCCCTCTGCCGCAGCCCAGGACTATGGCCAGAGCCTGAGCACTGTGCGGCACCTGCAGGAGAGACACCAGGTGCTGGCCCATGCTGGGAGGGTGGAGAGGGGTTGCCTCAGAGGTGCTGGGGACTCACGGCCCAGGACAGGGCACTGTGATCCAGCAAAGCCTCTGCTTTGGGGACACCTAGTTTCTTTGGAAATCCTGGGATGGGAATTCCTTGTAAGTATGTAGGATCTTTAGGCCCAACTTAGGGTGTGGGTTCCCCAATTGTTTGTACAATCCTGGTCCTTCCTCCTTTGCAGAATTTGGAGAATGAGATCAGTAGTCACAGGACTCTGAGCCAGGTGGTGATGGGTACAGGTCACAAGCTTGTGCAGGCTGGACACTTTGCCGCTGAAGAGGTGGCTGCCCGGGTGCGGCAGCTGGAGGAGGCTCTGGACCACCTGCAGACAGAGGCGGCACAGAGGAGGAGGATGCTGCGGCAGGCCCTGGAAGCCCAGCAGATTTTGATGGAGGTGAGAGAGAGGATGTTGTGGGATGCTGAGATGTCGGAGCTGAGAACACGGGGAGTACAAGGGACTGAAAGACGGCTCCAGGGGCAGGCAGAGCCGCGCATCCTCTGCTTCCAGTCCGGAGCACACTGGGCTCATTTGCTTTACCTTCACTGTTTCTTCTAAACCTGGGTTCTCAGCTAGAACTTTGTCAGAATCACCTGGAACCATCACCTTGCAACTACGCCTGAGCTACCCCACAAACTAAACAAGTAACAGGAAATGTGAGCCGTGTACTCTCAGCACCTAGAAGGCTGAGCCATATCATGAGACCCTATCTCAAAAAAATCCGAGTACTTAGAAACCAGGAGTGGTGGCTCATGCTTACAGTTCCAGAATCAGGAAGCAGAGGCAGGAGGTCCACTTCAAGTTCCAGGCCAACCAAGGCCTACAAAGTGAGACCCTATCTCACAAGACAAAACATAATAAGAAATGAAAAGAAACCAAGTAAAGACTGTTAGATAAAATTTGCTTTTTTTTTTTAAACATGCTTTTATTGGACTAAATAGCAACCCTGTCTCTGAGAAGCAAAAATAAGTTGTCTTTATGTTACATGAGGAAAAAAGGAAAGAATCACATGGAACCCTTAAAAATATTGACACTCAGGGTCCTTCAAGTACAGTGAGAATCTTCTGGAAGGTGTTAGGAGCCACGAGAGTGCTCCAGTTTTCCCATGCAACCGACTGAGGATACCCTCCCCCAATCCCACCCCATGTTCCCTAAACCCACTCCAAACCCTCTGCCCATGTCTCAGAGTGGAGTGCCAGGCCCAGGAAACTAATTCCTGCTGTTACACTGCCTAGCTCCTGGAGGCAGGGTCCTGGCTAGCTGAACGGGGCCACGTTCTGGACAGTGAAGACCTGGGCCAGGATGCTGAGGCCACACAGGTTCTTCTGCGGCGCCTGGAAGCCACCCTAAGAGACTTGGAGGGGTTCAGCGGTCGCATTGAGCAGTTACAGCAAGCAGTGGCCCTTCTGGAGAGTGGGCAGAACCCGGGCAGGTATGTCAGAGCTACACCCCCCCTGGAGAGGAGCAGAGATGGGGGGCCCCTGTCACAGAGGCAGGGGATGCTAGTCCAGCCTGGAGAGGGAGGGCTGTAGTCCATGCTTGCCCTTTCCTCCTGTCATAGTCCTAGGGTGCTGTCCCAGCTGCAGGCTGTGAGGGAGGCCCATGCACAGCTGCTGCAGAGGGCGGAGAGCAGGGGTCAAGCACTCCGTGAGCAAATGCACCTGCACCAGCTGGAGCAAGAGGCCCGGCTCCTGCATGCCTGGCTGACCACCAAGGTGGCTGCTGCTGAGTCCCAGGACGACGGACAGGACCCTGAGGGCATCGAGGTGGGTTAGTCCTTAGGAGACCCAGGGGAGAGGAGGGAGAAGCTTCTCTAGGTGAAGAAGGCATGTGTTTGAGGATGGGAGGTTCTGAGGGGTGACCAAGGAAGCTGGAGGGTTGTCACTGGAAGAATCTGCAGTTCTAGAACTCTGTGGCTAAGTGATGTTGGGGCCACTCATGCTGCCAGGCCTTTAATGAGCCTCCAAGGATGCTGGCAGAGGCTCACGATACCTGGGCTTCCATCCTTCCAGGTGACGGAAGACACGTTTGGTGCTTTCGGCAGAGAAGTCCAGCGCCTGGGCCAGGCCAAGGTGCAGACCCTGAGGGAGCTGATGGCCCCCCTGGAAAGAGGCGCACCCAGGTTCTACCCCCAGATTCAAGCCCAGAAGTATCGCGTCCAAGCCGCTTGGGAGAGGCTGAACAAGGCACTCGAAGTCCGGAGAGAGGTAGGCCCTGTCTCAGGGAGCATGGCGCCACGGAGCGCACACAGCACAGCCCCGAGCAGGCTCTCCCTCATTCTCTCCCAGAACCTGGCTGCAGCCCGTGAGCTCCGGAGCTTCGAGCAGGCCGCCTCAGAGCTCCAAGGCTGGATGCAGGAGAAGACCACCCAGCTGGAGGGAGAGTTCCGAGTCCACAGCCTGTCACCTGCACAGCTCCTACAACAGTACAGGTGCCTGCAGGTAAAGGCCTCACGGGGCTGCTAACCCCAGCCCCACTCTTCCAGGCAGAAGGCAGAAGATCCGTGTACCTTGGTCCCCCATCAGATGACAGGTATTGGTCGGTCACCTGGGACCTGCCCCGGAGCCACTTCTGCTGAATGTCAGACCACGCCCCCTCTGGCCAGGGACTTGGCACAGGGTTTAGAGCGGAGCAGAGGGGGTCTCCACAGGCCAGGAGCCACGGAATGGGGAGCATGCCCTCCCGAAGAGTGAGGCCTGACCTCGCGTTCTGGTTGCAGAGGGAACTGGCAGCTATGGAGAAGGAGATGGCGAGAATACAGGTGGAGGCCCGTCGCCTGGGCCAGCACGATCCTGTGGCTCCGGCGGGTCTGGCTGAGTGGCTCACCAAGGTGCAGGGAGCCTGGGCCACCCTGGAGGCCGAGGTCCAGGGACGGAGCCAGAAGCTGTCACAGGCTACCCAGGGCCACACCTTCCTTGGGCGCTGTCGAGAATTGCTGTAAGCAGGGGTCCCGTCCGGACTGTTAGCTTAGCTCTGCCCTCTCCTTGCTTTGGGGGAGTAGCACTTTTGCCCTTGTCCCCCAGGCTGCCTCGCCGGCTCTGCTAGCAGCTCTTTCCTTGCCTGGCAGAGCGTGGTCTCAGGAGCTGGTTTCCTCAGGGGAGCTGGCTGGGGATGTGGTGGACCAAGAGATCCGGGAGTGCTGCCTTCAAGCCCAGAACACCCTGCAGGAAGGGCAGCAGCTGCTACAGCATGGCCACTTCATGTCGCTGGAGGTGTGAACGGAGGAGGGTGGAGTGAGCCTCACTGCTGGGGCCCGGGAGCCCCAAGAAGGAAGGGTGAGGAAGAGGGAGGTGAGGAAGGAGGAGAGAGCAAAGATCTGGGTTGGCTTGGCTCTCCTGCCCACCCGCCGGGGCGGGAGCTCTGCCCAGGCTTCCGTGGCCACAGCCCCTTCCTGCAGGTGGAAAGGTGTCTGCAGGAGCTGGAAAGACATCTGCAGGAGCTTCAGGCAGCATGGGCCCTGCGTGGGCAACGCTTTGAGCAGAACCGGGGCCTGCAGCAGCTGCAGCAGAGGCTGGAGCTGGCTGAGGCCTGGCTGGCCTCTCAGGAAGGCCTGCTGCTGGACCCCAGCTATGGGGTAAGTGGAGGCAGATCTTGCTGTTCTCTGCTCACTGGCCCCTGAGCTAAGTGTGGAGAGCTGGCACCCCAAAACCGAGCCACATACTGACTCATTTCTCTCAGCACTCAGTGACGGATGTGGAACATCTGCTCTGCAGACATGAGGGCTTGGAAAAGCTCCTGGCGGCCCGTGAGGAGATGTTCACCCAGCTTCAGACGCTGACAGAGGTTCAAGGGCTGGATGAGGGGGGCTGGGTATAGAGAAAAGGCCTCTGAGGTGGCTGGGTGGGACAGTTCCTTGGTCTCCAAGTTAGGGCTCCTCAGGGCAGTGAGGCCTCATGGAGTCTTCCTCAGGGGTTCTCCTTCAGGAAAACCACCACCCCTGCCACCCCAGCACCCTGGGGAGAGTGTACCCCTGCGGGCTGGCAAAGACGGAAGACTCCAAAGCTGAAACATAATCACAGAGGAGACCAGCACTCTTGGAGTGGGAGGAAACCGGGAAAGATTAAGGTTATGGTGTGTATGTGTGCATACCAACACACACACACACACACACACACACACACACACACACACACACGAATACACACAAACACACAAGCTGGAACAGAGCTAGCAGTCAGAGCCTTCCCGTGGAGGTTTTCTGAACTAGGGGTTGGTTGCATGTCTGGCCGATATGAGGGACCTACTGTAGCCTGGTGTCCCCACCAGTCCACAATTATCTCCCTGGAGCATGTGGCCAGGCCCCAGGGGCTCAGGGTGTCCAGGGTCCACACTCCAGAGCAGACAGAGGGGCCAGGAGTGCTGGGGCCCACTGGAAATGAGGAATGGGGGGTCTCCCTCCTCGTGTGTGCTGGGCCTGACATCTGGACCCCCGTCTTGTATTTTCAGGTGAAGGGCACGCGTGTCACGGAGGGGTCTGTGGAACTGACGCAGCAGCCGCCCACAGACGGGAGGCAGGTGAGTGCTGGTCCCCACTGCGGGCAACTCCCTGTTCAGTGGGCATCTGGGCCTGGCACTGTGCCTAGCGGTAGACTCCTGGGTAGCTTCCTCGGTGATCCCTGGGAAGGCTATAGTTCCTATCCACAGGAAGAGAGGGTTAGGGAAGCGGTTCCCGCTTCCCCATGAAGACCACGGGCGGCACTTCCCTGGAGAGGTCTGAGGCCTGGGCCCTTCTTCCCCACAGCTCAGCACCAGCTCCTGGAACAGTAGCCATGGGACCTTGGCAAGCAGAGCCCTGAGCCTGTTCTCGGATACGAGGAGGGCAGAAGTACCAGGTGGCATTGGGGTAAGAGGCCTCGGGCAACCGGAGACCAATCTTGGGGAGAGGGGAGACAGAGGTCCCACAGGGGAAGAGCCGAGGTGGCCCCTGTGACCCCTGCACCTCATCTCTCCCCAGGAGCTGCCTTCCGGAGCCCCCGCTGTGCCCGAGTGTGAGAGACTGGAGGGCGGGAAGCATACTTTCTCCACAAGGTGAGGACTGCAGGCCTGGCCTCTTGACGGCAAGCCTGGCTGAGGGCTGCAGGGGGAGGCCCTGAGCAGGAAGCAGGGAGTTGGCTGGGGTCCTTTGGGAGGCCGGCTGAGCGGCAGAACAGGGATCTGTCTGCAGCCCCGTCTGCAAAGCAGGCTGCAGACTGGCAGCCAGCCCTGGTAGCGTGGCAGGTGGGCTGTAGGGGAAGGAAGGAGGTAGTGGGTGGGCCCCAGGTTACTGGTGTTGCTTGGATTTTCTGTAGTTAACAGGTTTTCACAGCTGCTATCTCTAATGTCTGAAAGTGGGACTTGATGATTTTCTCTAAGAACTGAACTCGGAGAGGTTGAGGAACTTGTCCAAAGTGACACAGGGAATCAGTAGCAGAGGTAGACTGTCTTGTCTGGTCCTCTTTGGAGTGCACTGGTTCCACCCCCTCCAGCCAGGGACTTGGTGGGTTCTGTTCCTTTCTGGACCTCACAGGCTGGTAACTCTGAATGCTAAATCCTGAGAGGTCTGGACGGTGGCCAAGCTCCCACTAGCAGGAAGATCGTGCAGAAAATACTCTGCCATTTGTGCCTTTCTTTGTCCGATGAGTTCTCTGTGGAGAGTGATGGGTGCCAGGGGCTCCGCCCCGTCCCTAGCTCCCCTCCTCAGAGTTATCACCTCCCCTAGTCTCCACCCGAAGCCTCTCTTCAGAATCCCAAAGGGACCCAGAGTTTCTCCAGCACCTCCCTACTCTGGGGTCTTGGTGGGGAGACTTCAAGGAGTCTCTTGGGAGTGCTGAGTGCCCAGCCATACTGCAGGCCACAGGAGGCAGGCAGCTGAGCCTCTAGGACAGGGACACGGGCCGTGGCTTCCAGGACAACCCTCATCCTTCTGTCTACAGCCTAGAACCCAAGGCCAGGTTCCCAGCTGTGGGTGGGAATGCTGTGATCAAGTCGGATGCTGGTGGAGAGGGTTTTTCTCTAAATGCTGACGGGCCAGGACTCTGCTGAGTGGGCCGGAGAGGCCCCACATGGGAGACCCTTGCCCTCACACCTCCACTTAGAGGTGATGGCAGGACCCAGGCCACGAGGCTCCCTTTCCCCACACTCCATCTCCTCCCTGCCCTCCCCACCTGGGGCGTCCCTGCTGGTGAGAGGTCCTGCTCTAGCTATCCCTAGGCAAGCGGCTCCCTGGGTGTCCAACCTGCTTTCTACTGGAATGCTCCCCTGAACTGTCCACCCATCCTCACTCTAAACTTCCATTATCCTTCCTCTGAGGCAGCAAAACCTCAGCCATTGCTTGTGCCTCTGCTCTTAACCTCTGTCCCTGACCCCAGGGGATAGCCTGGGCCAAGGCATCAGCGTGTCCAGGCCAGTGACAAGAAGTGTAACGGCCGAGGGAGAAGCCGGTTGAATACAGGCGGCTCTTTGGCATCCTCAGCCTCGTGTGGACCCCGGCTTCATTTAGATGATCATCCATCTCATCCATGTCTTTCCTATCCCAGGCTAGCGGGCTTCAGGCCTCTAAAAATGGGGCACTTGGGGCATGTGGGAGAGGATTGAACACCACCCCCATGGGTCCCCAGGTCCAGTATGACAATGCCATACATCTAGACTGATGCACAGCTGTGGGCCTGGAAGGCTCTCATATTCTAACAGGTGACAACCACAGCTGTGGTCTCTGGCACAGCGATCCATCTCTCTTGCTGGACTCCTCAAGTCCAGCTTGAGTCAGATGCTGTGAAACCAAAGAACAGGGGCTTGTACTAGAGTTTCTGGTGGTCCTGGGAGTGAGCTGAGGGCATCATGCACATCCTCTACCACTGAGCTATATCCTTGGCTTTTCCTTTACAACTCACTAAGTTGTCTAGACTGGCCTTGAACTCATGATCTTCCTGCCTCAGTCTCCTGAGTAGCTGGGATTACATTTCAAGCATCCCAGCTCCACTTCCAGGGCAGGCCCTGAGAACCACTTGCCTGGCTGACTTGCTAGATCATGAGAATCAAAGTTGTTACATCCCACTCATCTCACGGCTCCTAGTAGCTGCTCACACCCACGCTATTAGCAGGTGGGATGTTCTAGAAGATTCTATGGTGTATGCTTCCGAATCTCTGTTCTCCCAACAGGTCTGAGCCTTGAAATGAGTCCTGAGACATCATCAAACCTCAGGCTACAACTGAAGATGCATCCTGGGGAACCCCTCGGCTCCTGGCCCCAGGGCACCTTCCTGCGGCTGCTCAGGACCAGAGAACAGCTCCTGACAGGATAAGCACTGCCGTGTTGTTACCGGCTGGGCCCGAGATGAGCCTGAACCTTTTAACTGGACCAAGGTCTCTGTTTGGACAAAGATGGCAGTCTGTCCATCTGGACAGGGCTGGAACTTCCACACTAGTGGCCTCTTGGAGAGGGTGACTTGGATGTCCTGCTTTTAGAGTGGCGCTCACGTCAAGTGTCCTGTGGAACTAATAGCCTGGCACAACAGATAATTAATCTTGGGACAGCGGCGCCCAAGTGCCTCCCGTTTATAAGAGCCCCTATAACATGTCACAGTGTCCTGTCATGTGACCAGCACGGCCCCATCTCTAACCTCTGATGAGCCCCAAGTCCGTCCCATGGGTGAGCGAGGTCATTCCTAGTGCTAGGCCCCAGCAGCTCGCAGTCTGACTCTGTGAGGGCTGCCGACATGCCTAGTGTCACCTCTGGAGGTCCCAGACACATATCTTGTGGCGTTGTGCCTGGACATCGGAGTCCCCAGAGGCTCTGGAGCACGCGGTGGTGCTGGTCTTCGACGCAGAGCAGCAGGGAGGGGGTGGAGGGTCCAAGGCCCCCAGGTGGGAACCCCGCGGCGCCGCGGCTGTCACTCAGGCCGGCGCTGCCGGCGCTGTCTCCGCCGCTGCAGGGCCTGGCGCAGGGCCTCTATCAGCCGGTCCCGGTTGTTGCAGATGTTGTAATGTGTCAGGCGCAGCAGCTTGTCCACATCCTCCTGGCTGTAGGTCACGTTGGTGTAGTGGTAGGGGGAGTCAGAAGGAGACAGGTTCACCTCCCCAGCCGCCTTCTCCTCCGGTGTCCGCGGCACCCCTGTGGAGAGAGGGCGGTCTGGCAGGAGGTCGGGGGGACCCCTGCGTGGAGGAGGCAGGTCTGGGAGGGAGGGGGCCGGGGCTCACCGGGGGCCGAGTGGTTCTGGAAGGAGTCGTTGACCAGAGGGAAGTGTAGCAGGGCCGGGGCTTCGGGCTGGGTCGGGTCACAGAACACGTGGCACTCCTGAGGCCGGCGCTGCTCCTCAGGGCTGGGCGAGATGGGTGGGAAAGGGATGCCCTGCTCCTGGCAGAACCGGCCCACAAGCTGCAACTGCTGCTGGGCAGGCGGAGGGGGCATTAGAGGGCCCGGTGTGCTCAGCGCAAGGCCGGCTCTACGGAGACTCCAGAGGGCCCCGGGTGAGGCCCACGGTCTGACGGTACCCTCCCTTCCAGCTCCTCTAGGGCTCCCCTGGGTGAGTGGGAGCCATCTAGAAGCATCAGGTATGCCAGGACCTCTTCAGGGCCAGGCCAGTAAAGAGAACCATGGTACAAGACAGATGAGAACCTCCCAGCTACTCCGCACCCCACTCCCAGAGCAGAGCTAACTTTCCCCAGTAGGGGGTGCCACTACCATACCCTAAAGGAAGCTGGGCCAGATGCTGGATCCTAAAGCAGGTCTCATTAGGTGCCTAGAAAACAGGCTACCCTAGATGGCCCGCCATCTCCCCAACCTGAAAGGCTCCATGGAGGTTGTAGTCCAGTGACAAGATGAGGTCCACATCCCGTGTTGGCTGCAGAAGGGGTGGGCAGCTGGTGTTGATGAAGTAACCAACGTCCAGGAGGCAGAGGTGGGGCTCCGTGGGGGTCAGCTGGTTGGGGAACCCATCCAGTTTGGTTGCTACAGAGGTTTGGGGTGGGAGAAGCATCAGGAGCTGTCACTGTGGGTCCAGACCTCTTAGGCCCATAGAAAAAGGTCCATGGTCCCCACAAATCCTGCCAGAGCAGCACATCCCAGGGAGAGGGGAAAGGGGGTGGGGGGGTGAGGGTGGGGAGTGTCCTAAGGCTAAGGGATGGTGGAGAGCCTGGACCGAGCAGCGTGAGACGGTGGAAAGGGTACCTTTCCAGGTAGAAAAGCAAGGGTGATCGAAGTAGTCCTTGTGGAAATGGAGGCCGCGCATGAAATTGTGGGTGGCCTGGGCAAGCGGCCGCTTTGTCAGGAGGTCAGTGAAGAACCCGGCAATCCTGCTACCGGTCGTTGGTGGTTCTGAAATCTTCAGATGGGGGACCTGCTCTCTGTCTGCACAGAGTGGGGGAGGTGATGGGGGGACATTAAGGAAAGAAGGCCGCTGGTCCTTTCTCCCAGTCTCCATGGTTACCCTAGAAGGCAAGCAGTTGAAGTCCACAGTGCCTCAAAGTCACTCCCAACTGGCTGCCCACCTCTCTCCTGCAGAAAGCCCAGGCACCTACCCAGGCTGGCCTGATCCTGAGCCCAGCGGTCCCAGAACTGGCTGGGTTCAGAGGCCCAGTACAAGCTGTCTTGGAGGCTGGCTGCAAACAGGTTGCTCCAGATACCTGAGAAAGGGGCGTCAAGTGAAAAGTCCTGACTGCTGTTAGTCTGAACCCTCCTCCCTCTGGCTGATGTGGGCAAGGAGAGGCCCCCCTCACCCCGGCTCCCTCTCCCAAGCCCCCCATTATCTAGCCTCCTCACCTTCCAGGAAGCAGATTCGGGATTCGGGGAGCTGCTTCACCAGCCGCCCCATGAAGAACTCAGAGCCGAAGAGCTCAGAGGGGATGAAGGCCCCATACTTGGGAAAGCCGACTTCATAGGGAGAGAACTCACACCATTCTGTGAGGACAACGCACACCTCAGCCACGGAGCCTAGGGACCTTGGCCATTCCGACACCCACCAGTGACTTTATTTCAGGGTAGTCTGGGGACCAGGAGGCTCAGGCCTTGTAACCAGCAGGGGACTTGAGACCTCATCCCTCATCCCAAGGGTGTAAAGGCACTAGCTGGCGGGATGACAGTCTTTGGTACTTGGACCAGGAGACATGGGCATGAGATTCACCTCTTAGATATAGGACTAGATACAGGATGCCCTACCACCCTGTAAGAGCACAGGCCCCAGTTCTGAAGCCACTCACCCCCAAATTCAAAGGTGGTCAGGCCCCGCTCCTTGCTGTTGAGGGCACAGTAGATAGGCAGAGGATTCTGGCCTCGACTCAGGGCCTCCCGTTGATCCGAGAGTTTGTGTTCGTGAGGCTGAGGGCAAGAGGAGCTCGGCCTAAGCCCTCAGCTTCCTGATGCTGCGAGTCTTTCCCACAGATCACCCAGGGATGGGTCCATTTCCAGACGGCTTTGCCTTAGCTTTACCCACCCAGGGCCCACCCTCCACCTACCTCATCATGCAGCAAGGCCTCATTGATGAGGGCCCACAAGTTGGTGAAGCAGCTTGGGTAGCCCAGGCGGGCACGCTCGGCCAGCTCCTGCCGGTACCTCCACAGCTGGCTGGGGGCCAACGCGCCCAGCTTGCTCTTTGTCACCTGGGTCTTCAGCAACTCGGTGGGCCCCGTCAGGTCCTTCTGAGACCACTCTGGGTCCTCATAGAGGTTGGCCAATGCCCTGAGGAAAGCCAACGCTTAGGAGGAGGGGGCTGTGGTCACCGAAGGACCCCATCTGGACTGTACATGTCCTTGACTGTCTGGCCATCACTTCTGTCCCCTGGAGCACGCTGCACCCCACTGCCAGCATCTCCCCAGTCCATGCAGTGTGCACCGGGGTCTGCGGGGCTCAGGAAGTCCCTTCACTACATCCCCTCCCGATTCTACCAGCTGGCTGCGGCCTCCAGCACTCAGCCCCCAGCACGCTCACCAGGTGGACCCTGAAGCCCCAGTGATGTAGGAGATGCAGTCCAGGAGACCAAGCTCCCTCAGGCCAGCCAGCTGACCATATAAAGAAGTCATGGCCCGGATCCCACCACCAGTGGCCATGACGGCAATCACGGGGATCTGGAAGAGGAGAGGCAGGTTCAAAATAGGCCTGAGGAATAGAGGAAGTCACACTCTGGGAAGAGAACATGATAGTCCAGTGGCCAGCCAGTCAAGATGTGATTAAGTCTTGGGGCCAGTTCTGAGTTAGCCCTCTTGAGGACCTAGTCAGAAACATCCCCCCAAAGGCCTCGCTGCTTCAAACATTAGGGATCCAGAAGAATGGCCTAACAAGTATTAGCCCACATGGAGCCTGAGATCACTTTCTGGAAGCCCCCAAGGCTCCTGTGGAAGTCTCCAAAAGGTCCTGCTCTCCGGCGCTGGGATTCATTCCCCTAGGAGCCAATAAGGCTGGTCCGAACCTCTGGGGACCATTCTGAGCCATCCTCATAGGTGTGTGTCATCAGTCAGGTGGGGGACCAAAAAACACAGGGAAACTGCCATCTGTGAGCTGCAGGTGCCCCATGTATCATCCTGATAACATCGAGGAAGAGGAACAGGGTAGGCAGGGCCTGCCAGGGACAAGCCTGAGCTGACACCGGCTCTGGGCTGCACAACTCTCCCAGCACTGAGCCCTGGGCCTAAGCAGGCACGAGGAAAACTCCACCCACACGTGCTCAGCCCCAGACCTCGTCGTCTTGCAGGTCTTGGTCCAGCTGTAAGGCCTTTTTCAGGGCAGCGGCCACCACCTGCTTCCTCCTGCTTAGGAAGGCCTGCTCCTCAGGGCAGAGTCCACAGTCCAGCCGCACGGCCAGCTCCTTAGGTCTGGGGAGAAGGAAGAGACCCGGAAGCAGTTCTCAGCTCCACCACAGAAAAAGAAACTGGCTCACTTCACCTGCCAGACCCTTGCCCTCTCCTCCCTTCTCAGTCCTCACCACCACTTGCTGTGGAGTGAGGGGAAGGAGAACCCAGGGCCACGCACACACGTGATTGTGGTAAAGCAGACCATGGGACTGAGTGCACCCAGGGTCTAGGGCTGGTCCCCACTTCCAAGTCAAATCTCTCCCTCACCCACAGCTCCAAAAATGGCGGGGCAGAAAAGGTGGCCTATTGTCCACACCTATTTGAAAAGCGCCCTCCCTCTTCTGAAGGGCATCTAAAGGTCCTTTCTCAACAGCCCCCAGGCCAGGGGACATCCCTCCCCCTTGCCCACATGCCTCTGCCTCTTATCTGGACAGACACTGCTCTTCCCGGGATGGTGTGCTAGGCAGGGCCCACCCCTACTGTAGCAATCCAAGCGGGGCCTGTCCACACTGATGCCGCCTCCTGATGCACCCAGGAGCGCTGCATCTCCCCTCCCCCTCCCCACCAGGCCAGACTGACCTTCACCCCCACCCCACCCACCCCCATCCCCGCCTGGGTGCCGTCCCCTGGTCCCCTGCCCTCCCATTCCCCAGGTGGGCTCTTACCCTTCTTCCTTCTTCAGTTCCAGCCTCATCAGTGGCTCCTGGAAACCATGAGTACCATGATCAGAACAGCTGGCTACTTCCACCCCACTGTGGCCCCAGTGCACCCCAGAGCATCCCAAGAACCCTTGGG